GATCGAATCAACTGGTATAAATACGAATGTAACAAGACAAGACACAGAACTTAGGAGACAGAACCTACACAGAACCTAGAGACAGAAGAACTTCGCTGGAGAGAACATGGCAAAAGATCCTGGACAGAACCTGGCTACAGAACTTGGAGAACTTAGACAGAACCTGGCGACTGAACCTGGCTGGAGAACCTAAACCGAACCTGGCTGGAGAACCTAGCGAGAGAACATGGCTACAGAACCTGGCTGGAGAACCTAGCAAGAGAACATGGACATAGAACCTGGCTGGAGATCCTAACCAGAACTTCACTGGAGATCCTAAACAGAACTTGGCTGGAGATCCTGGCTAGAGGAACCTGGCTATGATGATCACCCGAAGGCTGCCTCCATGTCATTCCTTCTTCGCCGACTCCGTCCACACCTTTGGGGTCCCCTGGACCTGCTGTTCTTCCTAATCTGTTTTTCAAGGCAGCCTAACTCCTCCTCCTCCCAACTGCACCCCCAGTTTCAAGTACTTTCTAAAGAATTACGACATTTCAGAGATGGGTAGGTTTTTAAAGCTCCATTTCCAGACCCATTCCTATTGTCCCAGATGTTTCCACATCCCTAAAATGGAATTGATGTCTGCCACGCCAGCTCCTCAGTATTGTGAGGGTCACATACAATGGTTTTGTGACAGCCCTCAAATGAAAGGAATCACCCTCATTGCCCTTTTCAGTTTCATATGGAGTGCCCTGAATTGAATAGTTTATTTCAGGAGTGATCTGGTCAGAGTAAGTACAGCAGGACTATTTATTCTTTAATTTGGATATTGCTTCCATTACCGCATCCTTTACTGCGCCCATTAGCTGTTTTTGTCATTCAAGCATAGATATATGCATAATTAGGACTGCCTTAATTTGTGTTAAGTTATATCTAAAAGTTTCTTCATAAGTCAGTTAAGTTGCCAGGACAGTCTTGCTCCTTCCCCCCCCAAAATATTTAATTTATAATATATGGTCATGTGAGGAGGGAACAGATACTTATTAAATGCCCAGTGGAACAACAAATTAAAGTTTCTCTTTCTCTCTATTCCTCCCTCCCTCCTTCTGTATCTCTATAAAAATAAATTTTAAAAATGTAAAGGAAGGTAGTTTCAAAGAAAATCAGAGCTGGTTAATAGTTAAAGTGGAAAAAACAGATCTTATTCAGAAACCATGGCGATAGGAGAAAAAAGACCTCAGTATATAATTGGACTCAGTTCTGAATACAGCATAGACAAATGGGAATTTATAGTCGAGGAGCAGGGTGGGGGTCAGTGGATGGGAAATTACTAAAAGGAAACATCAGGGGCTAAACTGACTTGACAGGATTCGTGCTGAAGACCAGTCAGGTGGGAGTTCTCTCTAAACTGACTTAGCAAGATTCTTGCTACAACTGGGCAATGCAGGCCCAACAATGATGGACACCAGGGTCAGGGGCTTACAAGAGCTTGACTAGAGTTAGGTCAAGGAGTGCACCTTACCAGTCAGTCACAAAGAATAATAAGACACTTCCTGCCTTCAAGGAATGACAGTCACAAATTACTGAATCTCTTTTTATTCCAGGCCAGTGATTTTTTTCCGGTGCCATCCTTCTATATAATAGCTTATGGAAAAAAGAAAACAGTACCTCATGAAAGAAACACATATCAATAGAAAAACACATTTCAACATCAGAAATGATAAAAGGTTGTAAATGTGTCTTAGAATCAAAGGAATAAATGTCATCTTGAGCCCTTAACACATCGGGTAGTCATATCAGTTCATCAGTCAGCCTTAACACATCAGTTAGTCACAACCCAAAACAACTAAAAGAGTTCTACATGAGAATATCTCTGTTATTTTCTGTTAACAAAACAAGATGTCAAGAGGTAGGAGGGCATAAAAGGCTCAGTAGACTGTTTTGTTTTCATCTTGGTGTACTCTACTTGTCCTCAGCCTAGCTTTCCACATGGTCTAACAGAGTCCATAGTAGTTGCAGAATCAAAACCTCAGGATTACCTGGCCAGTGTGGCTCAGTGATTGAGCACTGACCTATGAACGGGAGGTCACAGTTGGATTCCCAGTCAGGGCACATGCCTACTTGCAGGCTTGCTCCCCAGTAGGGGTTGTGCAGGAGGCAGCCAATCGATGATTCTCTCTCATCATTGATGTTTCAATCTCTCTCTCTCTCTCTCTCTCTCTCTCTCTCTCTTTCTCTCTCTCGCTCTTCCTTCCTCTTTCTGAAATAAATAAAAACATATTAAAAAAAAAACAAAACCCTCAGGATGTAGGGACCTTATCTTCCTTATATCTCTTTTTAGATGGACTTGGTTTTCCAGAAACCCCTCCAGGAGATCTTCCCTCATATCTCATTGGTCAGAGTTGTGTCATGTGTCCGTTTCTAAACCAGTCATTGGCAGGAGTGGGAACCAATCATGATTCACTCGAAGTTCTATTAGGAAGGAGTGGTTGGGTTGTATCTCTTACACTGTGTGAAGCATTTTACAATTGCTCAGTCTGTGATTTTGCACTACATATTATTCTGAGGGAGTGTGAGAGGAAAGGTCTGAGTCCTTACGTTGCAGTTTTGGAAGAAAAATCTCTGATGGATATTTTGCTGATAGAGGTTCTCTTCCAGGATCTGTTTGTTGTCTGTATTTCATCATATGCTTTCATAGTTCTACAGAGCACAAATGAAAGTGATTTCCTCTTCCTCCATGCATGTTCCTCTTACCTGTTCAACTCACAGCAGAACAAGGCTTCCTCCTGCATTGCCTAGAGTTGACTTATTAAACAGTGGCGTATGCAGAAGACCATCTGGTAATCTTACTGCCGGTGTCTGGCTCTCTCTCCAGAACAGCATGATCCTCTCTGCTGCCATCTTCATCACCCTCATAGGCCTGCTCAGTTACCTCCATTTTGTGAAGATTGATCAGGAGACTCTGTTAATCATTGACTCCCTGGGCATCCAGATGACTTCATCCTATGCCTCTGGCAAAGAAAGCACCACCTTCATTGAGATGGGCAAGGTGAAGGATGTTATCATTAATGAGGCTATTTATATGGTAAGTATGTAAGTGGTATCAGGCCCCTCTGGAGGGGTAGCCCATGGAGTGTGCCTGAAGTTGAACTGTTTTAGTACCTGAAGTATTAGATGTCACAAAATTAAAATTGAGGACTCTCTGCTCCAATACTTGCAGTGTTTCCTTTTGGTTATGTCCAAAACCATAAAAGTGACTTCTATTGAAAAAAGGTATGTCCTTTTATATTATCTATTTATTTATTTTTAGATACCTTGGCATATGGGGATGACGCCCTAACCAATGGAGCTGCCCGACCAGGGTGTCCCTTTTTAAAGAGACACAGCAGGTGCTCATGGGTCGGGTGTCAGCATTTCAATTTTATTACAACCTTGCCATATGGGGATGACGCCCTAACCAATGGAGCTACCCGACCAGGGTGTCCATTTTTAAAGAGACACAGCAGGTGCTCATGGGTAGGGTGTCAGCATTTCAATTTTATTTTTGGCTCAGCTTCAGAGTCATCTCTGGTGGTGATTGTTGCATGAGAATACTTCTCCCTCACTTCAAAAGCTATCAAGTGTTCTACTTAGAGAAAACTATTTATGAAAAAGTTTTAGCCATCCCTTGAAGAAAAAGAGACAAAATGAGTTTCACTTAGATTTCTGCTATTTGGTGTATTTTCTTACAGCAGAAGGTGATTTACTACCTCTGCATTTTATTGAACGACCCGATGGAACCAAATGGAATATCCCAAGTAGTACCTGTCTTCCAGGTGAGCACAGAACACTTGGCTTAACTTTCTTCTCCGAAGAAATCCTCTGCCTTCCCCCACACTCCCCCCACCCCCGTCCCCATCCAGGGCTCCTTCAAAATTTTAGAGACGAAGGGAAAGGGAGAGAGAGAGAGATAGAAACATCAATGATGAGAGAGAACCATTGATTGGCTGCCTCCTGCACATTCCCTACTGGGGATTGAGCCCATAACCCAGGCATGTGCCCTTGGCCAGAATTGAACCTGGGACCCTACAGTCCATAGGCCGGTGCTCTATCCATTGAGCCAAACCAGCTAGGGCTCAGGAGCTCCTTTTGAGGCAAATACAGGCTTTCAGAAATATTGCAAATTTACACAAATTTTAGGGAAAAAATAGATAGCAACTTCTGCCTGTAAATCACTATTCATGTCCTTGGGCTCTGTCAGTCTACCAATATGATTTTACGTTGATGTTACTGATCTACACATGCTGTTACGGTATACACTGTTTTGTATCTTGCTTTTTAAATTTGACATGCATATTTTCATGCATCTACAAAGGCCACTGTACTTACTAAATAATTATACCATCATGTCAAGTATCAGTTTATTTAGCCACTCTGTTGCTAACTTTTAAAATCACACCCTAGGGTATTTTTTGCTCTTCTCTTATAAAAAACCACTTATATAAACATAATTGTAATACATTCCTTTATAGGTGTATAATTCACATCTGCAGTTTACTGCCTCACTGCCCTGTTTCTCAAAGGATTTAAGGCAGCTAAGCTAAAATTCTTTCGCATCATAGTTCAAAATTATTTTATTCAAGTTTATGAACAACTTCATGGATTTTTACAATATTTGCGATTTGGCTCTAGAGACTGGACAACTTTATATACTTTGGGGGGATTTGTGTTTTTCTAGTCTTGGCTAACAGTGGGTATAGCTTCTTTAGTATGTGGGTAAAGGAATTAAAAATTTTAAATTTGTACTTCTTTAAATGACAAAGACTTTTCATATTTCTTTGTATCTACCTATTAATATTTCTTCTTGTTTTAAACTATCCATACTTCCTCTCTTAGTCAAGTAGAATGTAGATATTGATTATGCATTTGTAACAATTTATGTATTTGGGTAGCAAACTTTTATTGAATATGCCATCCTCTTTTTCCCATTCTGTGGCTTTCTCTTAACTCAGTTGTATTACATTTCCTTATACACAGTATTTGTCAATGTTGACATGTGAAGCTGCCCTTCTTGTCTCTGAGGACTGTCCCACAGCTTGTGACACTCCCCAGGAGGGTCTCCTTGTTAACCTTCTTGCTTGCCCTTAGATGGAGATCATGAAACTTATACAGATTATAAACTGTCTTTTGAGATCTGGCTTTGCGGAATTTACAGGCTGGGCTGAGGGCCTAGTAGGGACTCTTCCAGCAAGGTGCTGTGAGGCCTGCTCTCTGCCTCTGAGCTCCCACCTGTGCCTATAGACCCCTGGGTGTGGGTGAGAGTGAGATTGCACAGGGATGCAGCACTCCTAAGCTCTCTTGTTCACCTTGACTGTGCCCTTCTTCCCTTTGGCCTTCAGAGTGCCAAGCCCCGGCTGGACTGCTTGATTGAAGTGTACAGGAGCTGCCAGGAGATCCTGGCACACGGGAAAGCCACATCCACAAGCCCATGAGCCCCAGCATTCAGAAGGCCAGGCTGTCTTCCGTGGGAAAGGACTCCTAAGCCCTTGGGCTGGTGTTTTTTGCTGTATTCAAACCATCATGTGAACACGGCCCTAGGAACCAGGATGGATGCAGTGGATCTGAGAGCCACAGAGCAGGTGACTGGAACTCAGCTCACTGTGTGATGTTGAGCAGAGTGTTCCGTAAGGTATGTGTACGTTACCAACTGAGAGGAGACCGTAAGAAACGGGTTGTCAAAGGCCATGTTGACAAAGAGCACTTTGCGAATTTTCTAAGCACATTCAAGTTGACTTTTTGTTGAATTTTGTGGAGCAAGACAACGGGAAATTGATATCAGATCTCTTGAGAAAGACTATTTCCAGCTATATAAAAATTAAGAAAATAGTCCAGCTCTTCAGGCACTGGGTTAGTGGGAAGAAATGTCCCATAAGACTAGACTCTGTCCCCCTAGCTCCTTTGTCTGTATAGGGTTAAATATGATGAATCTCAATAAACAGGTCTCCTTCCTAAACATGTACAGTAATTGCCTGGTTCACTGACACCTGCTTTTGACTGACAAACATAAATGTGGCATTTCAGTCAGGGTATGAAGCACACTAATACTCTTGTTACTCAAAAACTTCTTTTGCTGAGAGGAATGAGACAAAAGTCCAGACAGAAATTCAACTTTGGTTTCTAGGAACATGTTAAAGAAGGATGAACATGCAAACTATAGAAGCCTTTGTTGGTAAGACAGTTTCTTCTGTATAAAATTCATAAACTAAGGAAGGATTCCTGAAGGATTGGGAAGGAGAGAGGGTGGGGGAAATAGCTTGACCCCCAAATTCAGTATGAACACAGCTCTGTTTGGGATCCTAATTTTTTTTTTTTTTTAGTTTGTTAATCTTCACCTGAGGATATTTTGTCTATTGATTTTTAGAGAGAGTGGAAGGAATGGAGGGGGAGGGGAAGGGAGAGGAAGAGAGAGAGAGATGTGAGACACATAAATTGGTTCCCTCTCGCACTCATTCCAACCTGTAACACAGGCACGCACACCTGACTGAGAATCGAACCCGAGATCCTTTGGTGTGTAGGCCAATGCTTCAACCACTAACCAACACCGACCAGAGCTCTGGGTACTTTTTATGTGGGCTGCCACTCTAACCATTGAGCAACACAAACCAGGCAGATCCTGCTGTTTTTAAAACTCCCAGGTGGGTAATATCCTCATGGGCCTTAGAGACACTCAAGTATCACAAAACCAGAGATGTCATTTCTGCCTTTTACACCAGCCCTGGAGGGGTTCTTCAGAAGTCTGTGGTACGTGTGATGTGTTGATGTGTTCCAGGTAGGACTGTCCCAATTAGAACCCAAATGCTGGGCGAAAGGCAGGAACACAAATGTTTGACCAAATACAACAGGCTAATTTTTAAGTTGATAATTTTGTATGGGCCGAGAAGGATGTAATAAATATCCAAATGGCTGTTGGCAGAAAAAAGGTTCTCCACCCCTGGTGTGAAGGATGAGAGGGGAAGCGTGCAGGAGCTGAAGTGCTCACATAAACTAGTTCCAGCCGAGTGCTTCTGCAGTGTGCAACACACACACACACACACACACACGCGCGCGCGCGCTCTCTCTCTCTCTCGCTCTCTCTCTTACACACACTCACACACACACACGCGCGCGCGCGCTCTCTCTCTCTCTCGCTCTCTCTCTTACACACACTCACACACACACACGCGCGCGCGCGCTCTCTCTCTCTCTCGCTCTCTCTCTTACACACACTCACACACACACACGCGCGCGCGCGCTCTCTCTCTCTCTCGCTCTCTCTTACACACACACACACAATGTACATTTTCAGGGTAAAATACCCACACTTTGTCAGGGTAAATGCTAAGACCATACAGTTTTCAGCACTTTATTGACATACGGTAAGACTGTCTTAGAGCTATGAAATAAAATTCCGTTTCCAATGTTGGAAAATCAGAGTACCAGTGAACTCTTTCGTCTTTCTTTGTTAGGGGATTGTGGGAACAAAGAGCACCTCCTCTGCACTTAACAGAGGTCTCAGTGGGAGGGGGATACTGGCATCGTTAGGAAGGCAAAAGGTGAAAGCAACATTCAGTTTCTGGGACAGACATCACCTGTCCTCTGTCCTCAAACTAATGCCCAGCAGAAGGTCGCCAGCAGTCCCGAGGAGCAGACCCAGGCCCTCAAGCCCCAGGGGGTCTCCTGTGTCTGACTCATTTCAGTGGCTCCCAGAGTAGCAGAAAGCAGGGAAACGAGTGATGGCCACCTCGTCCTACAGCCGTGAGCACAGCCTTCACTGAGCCCTGTCCAGTAGTTAAACGGAGACACGAGGAGGCCAAGGTAGACCTGCCCCTGCCTTCGCTTGTACCCAGCTGGGCTAACAGTCCAGTGTGAGGAAGAGCAGCTTCGATCTCGGCAGGGAGCGCTCCTGTCCTACAAAGAGGAGCTGCTGCCCGGAGGGCAGGGCACTGCAGGGCGCCTACTCCGGGCAGCAGGGAAGGAAGGCCTCCGCTCCTTTCCCTCCAGCCCTGCCAACCCCTTTCCCGTCTGCGGAAGGAAGCCTAGTTTTAGTGAGTTCTAGGCTTCTGTCAGAGTTGGGGTGAACAGGAAATTTTGGTCCTCAGGATCTGAGGATATTGGGAAAACTTCAAGTATAAATCCCCACATAAGGACAGTATACAGTATACAACAGATTTGCCGACCCCCCCCCCCCCCTCCGAGGGTGCCAGTGGGGAAAGCTCTGACATATAGCACTGATGCCCTCAGGAACCAGACCTCCCTGTCTGTCTAGAAGCAGGCAGAATCCAGCACTCATACTCTTGGGGTGGGGGGGGGCGGGGCGGGAAACACAGTGGTTTTTATACTGGGCCTGGCTTTTTAAAAGTTGGGCCCTGAAGCATAAGGCACCTAGAGAATAGAGGCTTCGCGGACACTGAAGTACACACTTCACAGAACAAACCAGGGCGGGCTGGGGAGGGTGCTGGACCCATCACAGTAGTGTCATGCCCCAGGATTCGTATCTCCAACCCCAGAGGCACCAGGTGGCGGGGAAAGGGGCAGGAGAAACATTCACAGCAACGGTGGCCCCTTGGCAGCCCGTGGAAGAGAAGCAAAGAGCTGTTGTCCAGCCAGTTCCCATGGCTGGTGGGCAGCAGGTGGCTTGGTGGGTGTGTTCACAGTTATGGAGCAGTGGCTCATGTAGCTGGCCATGAGGAGAGTAGCCTCTGCAATCTAAGGAGACAACAGAGAAACGAAGGACATGAACTAGCCTTGGCTCGAGTACTGGCTTTCCCTCTCACTACCTGTTATAAGGGCACATAACCTTCCTGGGCTTCAGCTCCTTTCTCTCTTAAAATACCCACCTGGGAGAACTCGTCCAAAGGGGGTCATTACTGTGCGGTTCAGAGGCCCAGTGAAATGGGCGCCTACTGGTCTGGAGGTCCTGTGAGACGCACAGTACCAAGCTGGGGCAGGGGGCCTCCCTGGACCAAAGGGCCCGCATATCTTCTCCTTTGGCAGGGGTGTGTTAAAAGGAGGAGATCTGGCAATCTCCAGCTTTAGGATCAAAGCGACAGGGTTTCCAGGGAACTCTTACAGTCAGGAACCTATAAATGAGGACTTAGGTTTCTGAGTCTTTGTAATTCTTACATTTGCTAGTCAACATTTCCTGTACTGAGTGAGAATAAAGCCCTTAAGGCAAAAGAGGTCTTTGGGCAGAATTAAGACCTGGAGGACAGGGGAGCATGTGCAAACTGTCCCACTTGGCAACTAGTGTTGGGACAGCAGAGCCCAGGACAAGGTGAGAACATCTTGAGGGGGCAGCTGGCCTGGTCCTGCTGCAAGGAGAACAGCGAGTGAGCACCCAACTCCAGCCTGCATGGCGCGGAGGCTTGAGAGCAGGAAAGATCATGTGAAGGGCACAGAGTAGCTGGGCCTGAGTGAGTGCCCTCCCTAGCCAGCCCTCACTGTCTGCCCAGCAGTGACTGCCGAGCAACCACCGGAGCCCTTTGGAGCCATGATCATAGGCAAGGCCGAGTTTCCTTTGGGGCAAGGCTCTTCTGGGAGACGGTCACAACCCCAGCTTCCTTTCTCAGCTCCAAGTCCACCTCTTCCTACATTACAGGTCAGAGTAAAATGTTTCAGGAGCTCTCAGACCCACCTTGGGAGCGGCCATCCGGAAGGTCAGCTTTTCAATGTGGCCTTTTCCAGAGCTCTGGTCTGGAATGGATCTGATCACAAGCATGAAGTCGTCCCGGCAGCCACCAAAGGTCGTCACTGAAGAGTAGGGGTAGGTGACACGCACTTGCTGTGGGAAAGAGCTGGTTAGTCCTGGGGAAACTTTCCCCCTGCCTCCGAGCTAGGAACCAGCATCCCGTCTCTTCTGAGTGCAGGGGGCTTAACCAGGAAAGAACTCGCAGTGGCCATAACCTGGAGACACGCATCTCCAACGTCTATGTGCTGTGTCTGGACTGGAGAACAGCTGTGCTTGGGCAGGGGGTCGGGAGAGGGGGGCATGGTCACTTCACTCAGGCTTTTGCGTCCAGAGAGAAGAAAAGACTATTCAGGAGAAGGAGGGGATCGGGGAGCCAGCCCTCCTCCTTCCTCACCATCGTGTTGTGGTCCAGGACGCTGACACCATCCTCATTCACAGCAACCCACACCAGAGGGTTCTCCTTGGAAGACAGCGGCACAGGCTGGGGAAACAGGAACACCCCATCAGACACATCCACAGCGATGGATTCTGAACCATGAGAGCTTTGTGAGGAAGGCACACGCAGGGATCTGCTAGGCAGTGATTTCCAACCTTTTCCTTATCTTGGAAAACAAAAGATGGCATTTGTGCAGCATGCTGGAGTGCACAGGAGGCATCTGGCCTTGGGGCTCTGGCTACCTACTAACAATCGCGAGCGGGAGGAGATCACAGCCTATCCTGCCACAGCCCATCGACTGGGAAGCTCTGTGCGCAGAATAGAGCATCCCTGGCTGCTCTGTCATGGGCGTGGGGAACAGACTGTTTTCTCCCAGCTCTGACACTGACAGCCCTCCACCCACAGTCTTTCCCAGCTGGAGTGCATCTTGCTTCAATCAATTTCACAGGGACTGTAAAAGAAACAGGAAAGCAAAATACAATCTTATGGGCGACAGACCCTACCAGTAAGAAAAGTGGCTATTTTGTAGACAATTCCTGGAACGACTATTTTCGCTGCCAGCGCTGCAGTAGGGCAATCCCCAAAAGGCTGGGGAGGTAGGCATGTCACCATTTTCAGTAGCTTTCCCCAACTTCCCATACCAAGTGGGATCCCGTGTTATACGCCCTTATAACTAGCTGATCCTATCCCCCCTGCCCCCCAAGTGTAGCACTGAGACAGAAGTCAATAAAGGAAAGATGTGGGACACCCAGAAAGAATCCTGGACCCAAAGCAATGAATCACAACTGCTCTGGACCATGGAATGGGGAGTAGGTCAGAAATGGGTGGAAAGATAGCGGCCCCTGGTGGTTG